TGGTCATTTTGTAGTTGGCTTTACAATGAAAAATAAAGTAAAGTTGAAATTTTATACGGTGCAATGCTTGTCTGTGCAAATTGGTGATCAGTTAGTAGTGTGTGGTGCAGACCAGCAGAAAACCAGGCACACTGCAGCTACATGCAAGTAGTTAGTCATACACTTTAGGAATGATGTTATCAGAACTAGAGCTGTGGTATTATTTTATGGCAGGCATTTTGGGGTATCCAAACCCCTTTTATGCTGCCTTCCAGTGATTCAGTCTTGCAATCGGTGATTCTGCTGTGCTTACTGATTGTTTCGATACCATCAGCCTCAGCTAATCACTCACTGCTACCCAGTGCAGAAGTCACTGTTGTTGTACCACCCTAGTTATGTGTACTGATTGGAAGCAAGCTGTAAATTGTGAACCAGCCTCGTACAAAACAAACACAAAACTTTATTAAATGCCAATGAATCCCAAAGGCAGAACAATAAAAACAAGTAATCAGGCCCTGCAGTCAGAAATGGCTGTAAGTGGGGTCACAGGATTCAACCTTTCTGGAGTCCCAATTTTTCCCAAGTAGGTCTTAAATTCTGTGATGCCAGAACTGGCCCAATTTTTTCCCCATATCACTCCCTACAATGACCCTTTCCTATGAAAATAGGGAGGCTGGTCACAAGCCTGCAGGTCTCAGGTCTCCAGGTCATTTTAGGTCTATAATTTGCCTGTGTGCATTTCTTGCCTTTTTCTGAGATCCAGGATCTGCTGTGAACAAACAAGCCTCCCCATCCCTGAGTGTGCTGATTCTGTGCCCTCTCTTATGATAAAGATTTTTACTCATTTCCTTATGGCACTTTCACAAAGCTTTTTTGTGTACTGGCTGCTGGGTTTCAATGCCAGTGAAGAGTAGAGACAGCAGAGGACTCATCCTGACTAGTCAATCTATTTCATAGTTAACAATTCTGCGATCTGAATGTCTAAAGAACAGGAGGGGCAGTACAAAGACACTGGCACCAGCCAAATATTTCAGACTAGTCACTGGAAAACTGCAGGTCTGGGCAGAGTGTACTGTTGCGCACACAGTTTGCAGGGTCCAGGTACATCCTCTTCCTTTTGACTTTCCTCTTCATGTGTGCGGTGCTTATTGTAGAGCGGGGCTACAAGCCTGCAAAAGAAATTTCAAAAAAAGGGGAAGCCAATTTAGCTCTCTCTGCTGATACCCAGAGCTAAATAATAAACAGAATGGGCGTGCAGCTGCTCTCCCAGGCCAAAGAAACTAGTAGAGCATTTACTATTAACTACTTTACCAGGACTCTGAATGGCCAAACAGAGTTATCCAGGTGGCCTCAAGAGAGGGAGAGGTTTTTCTGAGGCCCCCCCCCCACCCCCACCCACCCAAACCTCCCTGTTCTTGGGGGACTCACTGCTTTTTGCATACCCTTGAAATTATCTGACTTATTCCCATCCACTGACAGCCCTTAACCATTAACCATTATTTGCAATGAAGGTTTTATTTGAACTCAAATATTTGCCTAAAAATCTTAATGTGTCTGGTGGAAGTGAGCTCTGGGCAATCCATCTGACTTCTTTGGCACAAAGGATAATAGGTGTGCAAGCAGTGGCACAAGGGAGTGGGCATTTCACTTTTTCATAGTGCAGCCTCACTGTGATGAGTGATGAGTGTCAACGTGAGACAAAATGTTTCCATTGTTTAAGTAGTCTGTGGAATTAGAGCAGGCATGAATATAGCCCCCTTCCAACCTCTCTCTCTTGTCTTCCTCTCTCTCGTCTTATATCATCTTGAGATCCAGAGATTTCCTAATGACCTAATAGGTCCAAGTCACATCCCTTTCATGTGGTTGGAAACATCTGCCGCACTGGAGGCTCTGTGCATAGAGTGGCTCAAAAGATGGCCAATGCCTCAGGGCTCCCATGGGGCACTGTTAAAGCCCCACAAACCCTCTGGAGGAGAACAAGGCAGGGGTACCTCAAAATCCAACTTCCAAGTGGCACTGGGGAAGCTCAGACAGACATGGGAGTTAAATGCTGTACTTTGACAAAGCATACAATTTCCATTTCCACAAGTTCCAGTTTAAGATTTTTTTCAAGTTTTTTTTTCTGTGAAACTTTGATGTTTGGGTCTTTCACTCCAATTCAGGAAGAAGCAAATGCCCAAGTATCTAAATGTTGCATGTGATAAAAAATCCATTTTCCCATCATCAGTAGTCCCACAGAGGGTGAGATTGAGCTGCTTCATTAAAACTTTCCCACCCTGAAATGTGCTATGGTATGACACAGGGTCACAGCTCATATACAGCAATTATTGTATCTGTTTGGCTGGGATGCTAATCCTGGTCCTGGTAATAGAAGAGGCCAGAAATGTAATTGGTGTTTGTAATATAAACTAACAGAGGGACATGATGAAACCTGTTCATCCGGGCTAGGGACAGAAGTTACACACAAACTAGTTCAAGTGATCAGAAACTGGTTTAAACTTGTAACACAATAAAAGTTCAGTGCACATAAACTTCTGTCCCAGACTCCTTCCTGGGTTAAGTTAAATCAAAGGCCCCCAGCATTTTGCAGCCCTGAGCTGTACTGTGCAGTCTGCTCCAGAGAGCAAGGCTGGCCCTGCCCCTCTGCTCCTTAGTTGCAGCAGTGAGGGCTGGCTGCCCCCTCCCCAGGCAAACTCCTACTGGGGCCTGGGGCCAGGGAAGGAGGTTAAACTTCCCTTCCCTTGAGCATGGAGCTGCCCTACCCTGCTTGCTTAGTGCTGGCTATAACTGTGGACTACAAATCCCAGAGGCACCTGGAAGCAGGAAGAAGAAGTGATGAGCAACCCTGCAGAGTCCTGCTGCTGTGATTTTGGACTGCAAATCCCAGAGACCCTTGGGGCAGCAGAAAGAGGAGGTGAACACACAGCCCATGTTGGCTACATGCCCAAGAAACTTGCTCTAGTGCCCCCTGGCTTCTGGCCTGAGCCACAGCTGGCATGTGGCTGCATTTCCTGACTCACAAGTGAATGTCCGTTCATTTGCTTATTAGTCCAATCTTAGACTAACCTGCAAAGACTGAATCCAGTCAGCCTCAGGCTTTTTGACTATCTGTATTTAGCCCTGTTATCTTGCATAGAGACAAAGTAGGACCAGCAACATTTAGTTTGCAGGGGCCATGGTTCAGGATACCTCAGGCTAGTATAAAAAGAATAGGATGATCATTCCCAAGTGCAGACAGGAAACTTGGGTGGTCAAGCCATCTACTCCATCTGCCACTTCCTCTTTGGACTAATTGTATCTGTTGGTTTCTTTGGCAGAACTAAGGCCTGCGTCTCTATGCTGGGAACAGGGAACACTTGTTCGTTCTCATGCTCTTTCTGCTTGATAGTCCTGAATACATTATTTTTTCAAGTAAATAAGAAATGGAAAGAAAAAAATAGGGTTTCAGTTTGCAGAAATGTGAGTAGGCTGCTTTGTTTTATCCTTTATTTCTGCATGCTATGAACTTTTGAGGTTCATCTTCAGAGGAGTGAAGGAAGCAAACAGAGTCCTCAAAAGGGGTCTGAAGTGCATCTACAGATGTAACTGGAAAAACTAGTTGGAACAGAAGTATGGCTACCGTTAGTCTCGGACCCCTTCCCCCTCAAAATAGTCATCTCCATAGCTCTGGTAGGTTACTGGGTGTATCTATACCTGTTGGCAACAATTAGTAGACTATTCAAGGCATTCAGTTTGCAAAATTTAAACTCAAGCTGGGGCAGTCTCACTGAAAGATTAAATGAGAAGCTTGTTTAATTGGAGCTCCTTGCCCATTGGCTTGAGGATACAGTCAGATCACTTGCCTAGTTACTTCAGTGCTGCAGGACTCCCTCTTGTTTTATGCTACTTAATTAGGGTTTGGGGAGTGAAGACTATTTGACATGGGCACTTCCTTACAAGCAGCTGCACCAAAACAGAATAGTCCTGCCATTGCCTCATGGACAGACCACTATCCAGGCTATTCATTTATCAGAAACAGACTCTTGAGCACAGTTATTAAGGCAGGTATGGCTGAAGAAGTCAACTTTATGCTGTGCAGCCCCATTTATTCAGAAACTTCACTGCTTGCTTTGGTGACAGGGAGAGTCCTCACTTTCCACCTCTGTACCATCAGCCCAGCAGAAGTGGCAGAGGAATTGCTTACTGGCTCAGTAAGGAACAACTTTAAGTAACTACCAATTACAGGAATAAATTGCCTCTCACAAGCTAGTTTGCCACTAGCAAGATACATATAATCAAGTAGAACTTGCTTTTGCAAGCCCTGTTAACAGAGTAGGTGTCTGACTACGTAGACAGATGTGGGGCTGTGTTTTTCAGATTATCCACTCTATTAACATCACCATCTCAGAAGTCTTTAAAAGGTTTATGCATTTCCACTTATTAGCCAATCAGGCTAAATTCATGCAACAGCACCGGCACACCATGGCGTCTCTCACCTTAGAATGCTTCACGTCTCCAGCTCTTGTAATATTTATTCAGCAGATTAATATTTTAAATGCACACTCAGTTACTAGCACCCTGCAAACCCATCACCTTCACCACTGTACCTTGCCATGATCCCTCAAACTTTCACTTTGCCTTCCCCTCAGGACCCCAAGTTGCACCAACTTGCTGTCCTTGCAGAGTGATCCCTATTTTCATGCCACCTAGATGGCACAACGGAGACAGAATATTCTGTTTTTAACCTATGAGTGTTTCTGCATCTCACTGCCACTTCAGGACATATCTACTGCATTCATTCTTCCAGAGCCCCGTTTGATTTCTAGTGCCCCATGTGCAAAGGAAGAGAGATTGCTTAATTTTTATGGCTCTTCAGCTTGTTAGAATAAGCTTTCCATGATTCCTGTGCCTTTCAATTAAATAGGCAGCTATTCTGCAGAAGCTTTATAGCACTTCTCTCTTTAACCCATCATTAAGTAGGAACTTGCAGAGACACCCTCACTTGCAATGATCATAAAATTGTTTATTAACCATTACAAACATTAAAAAAAAAAAGTCAGTTGAGAATTCAGGCTGCAATACACTAACCCATATTCCAGCAGAGACGTACAATAGAAATATAAAGACAACATTAAACTTTTGCACCATTAAAAAGAGATACATACAATGGATGCACTGAAATTCAATATCTGTAAACTAGAGGAGCACATGCGAGTACATCTGCCCAACACTGAAAACATGGCCACGCACACAGTGATCAGTAGCTACGCTCGAGTTACTTAGAGATTTTTAACAAGACATTTGTCTGCTCGAGCAGCAGGAAGAGAAACTGATTAGCACTGTAAAAAAATCTCTCTCTCTCTCTCTCTGACAGCATTGGGTTAAGGGAAAATTCATTCATTATACTGAACAAGTCTCAAACTTGGTTTCATTTGGTTGTGCGTCTTGCAAGAAACTACTATTCCCCATTCCATGAGAGGAATGAGAACATGCTACGCATACATTTATGAGTACTACACAAGTCACCCCCATCTTTAAATATACTTGTTAGGAGGAAGATACATCATGCATTCTTATAAGTCACTATCTCATGGCAGAATTGGGACACCAGACTGAACTACAGCTACAAACAATTCACTGTACATGTATACTCCGACACTAGGGGTCCAGTAAGTCTGATGGACTTGTAAACAAACCCGAATGAGTCCACATACTTTCCATGAATAGAGGGACAGCATTATTTAGGTGGGCAGGGTGCTCCAGAAGCAGGTGCAGGTTTAATGCTATAAGGTCTGCAATCCAAACCTGGAGCCATTTCCCCCCGACGCTCGAGGGTCTTTTCTGCCTCTCCTTCCCCTTGGTTCTCAAATGCTTGAGGCACTAAGGTTTCCAGATGTGCAGACTTTGTTTCCCCTCTTCTAGACAGGCAAGTAGTAGCAGTGGAAGGCAAGACCTCTTCTGGAAGATGGACTGGTTGGTCCATATCCTGCTGTTGCTGCTCTGGATTAGCAGTTGCAGGTGCCTGGCCTTCATCAGAAGCATCCAAGGACCCCTCTCTTGCCTCAGCTCCTGCTGGGACAAGAGCCAGGACTCCGTCATCTGCTCTGCTCTCCTGACAGTCAACCTTTATTTCCAACGGCTCTGCAGCATGCTGCTGTTCGGCCTTTTGTGCAAGCTGTTCACCACTTTGGGTCTCTTGCCTGGCTAGATCATTTAGTTTGTTCACAGGTTCTAGTGCATTCATGCTGGGGGCGACATTTACTGGGGAGACCTCATTAGAGAGCTGCAGAGTGAACTGTGTTTCAGTGATGCTCTTGGGGGTCACTTCCATGGCCTGTGAAACAGATGTTGCCTCTGTAGGCTCTTGTGCCACTTGTAGAACAGATTGCGATCTGGTCTTCTCTATGGTGTGGGCAAACCAGTTCTTTACAGGGGGTTGAAGAGTCACCACAGCAGCCTCAGACCCACCTGTTCCTTGCACACGAGTCACTGCAGCATACTTCTCACTGTGGTCTTCAGCCAAGGGAGGCTTGTTCTTCCCCAAGGCTATTTCTGCATCAGGTGGTGCCTCAAGGCCCTGTGCAGCTGCAGGCTGTTCTGTGGCCCGTGCTGAGTTTTGGGGCTTGTTCTCTTGGGGAAGCTGAAGTTGCACCACCCTTGGTTGGTGCTGAGCATCAGGCACTCTGCTCTCTGCTACAGCCTCGACAGCTTGAGTAATGCCTGAAGCAGGCCAGGCCTCAGCACCCTGCAAGGCCTCTTTGGCTTGTGGAGTAGCTTCTGCCTCTCCCATCTCTTGCTTGGGGGCTGTTTCAGGTGCAGCTGTGGTCTCTACAGCAGCAAGCAGGGCCTCCATAAGTCCTTCTGTGGCCTCTGCAATTATCACTTGTTCAGCATCTTCAGCTGGCTGAGCCTCTCCAGCCTCTTCTACAGTCTCAACGGGTAGCAGTTTGTCTGGTGGTGTTGGCTGGGCCTCACTAGCATGTCGCTCAGATGCTTCCTTAGTCTTTGCAGGAGGCTGGTGGTCCATCCATGCAGGGGCTTCCTCAGAGGCCTGTATAATAGGCTGAGTCTCACTTGTCTCATTGATTGCTTCTTCAGCCTTCTGTTTCTTGTACTTCCCACAAGTCATACAACAGCTGGCCTTCTTGCTGAATTCACTCCCCATGTTAACAGTCTGCAGCAGCAGCACCTGAAAAAACACAATGAGAGTGTCCATATCATTTCATCATAGTAAGCAAGCCGCTGGCGTGCAACACAACACCCACTAGCTCCTTCACATCGTTTGTGAGAGTATGTGGGCATTGTTGGGAATCACTGTGGCAGGGGGGCTAACATTCAGGGTCACAGCTCTGCCCCGGTGAGTATTATATAAAAATCAGCATAATCCCTAGTTTGTAGGGCACTACAGCAGGACTCCAGCTTACTACCCTCGCAACCACTGGGAGGTATGCTCAGGATGGATTTCATGGCAGAGATGCTGCCTTATGCAGCAGTCACTTTTGCAAGATTAAAACTCAAAGCAATAGTACCAAGACAAGTTAAGCATAGCACATGTCCATCTTTACTCCCAGCAATGCAGTCACCTTGTTATATTTATGAACCAGATGTGACAACCAAACTAAGCCTACTGTCATCTTGGGGAGCAAGATGGCTCAGAAACCTTTTGTTAATAAGTTTCTGAACTCGGGGCATTAATGATTAGAGCAGCAAGTTTCTCCCTCCTTTAAAAGGGGGAAAAAAAGCATTATTTTATCAGAGCAGTCAGCATTGTGCACAAAAAGAGTCTTATTTACACATGTAAAGCCATTAAGGCTCAAGTCTTCATCTAGCTTATTGAAGTATAGCTATTAAATACCCAGCTACAGGGATACTTTCTGCCTTGATATAGCTTGGGGCAAGTCAATTGTGGATGACAGGGTTGTACAAATAGAGTTGTTGAAAAGACTGTGCCTGAAGTTCAGCAGCTTTAGCAATCTACTCAATGCCTCCACCAGAACACAGGGTCACAGTTCCAGATGACCTCAAGTTACTTAAAGCTCCAGTCTCATTCCAAGTCCTGATTCACAAGTTCTGGAATTATTACCCTAATTTTTAGTGTTGTCAGCCACCACAAGAGAGCTTTCAGAGAAGACACCACCAGTCTTAAAATTTAAAGCATTGCAGGTGCATAAGAGAGCAACAGCTATAGACTTTGGCATAGGAGCACAAGAGACTCAAGAATCAGAAGCTACATATGATGAACCTAGCAAGCTTTGTTATTTTGAAAGAGTTTCTTGTGGGTTTTTTTTAAGTCCCTCAGTTTAAGCAAGTGGGGATAGTGACACTGCAATCATTAAGAAAAGGATTAAGTAGAACAGGGTATGTAGGTATCCAGCTTCTTCATACATAGACTTCAGGTGTATACACTTTTATTATTAAAGACCAGTTAACTCCACTTTAACTTACCCCACTGAAGTAGGGCTCTGAGAAAACACCTCAACTCTTAGGATAAACTAGCTGTTGACTTACCAGAGTCCTATGAAGCAACTTCCAAAAAATTAACAAAACCTCCTATCAAGCTCTCTTAGCTTAGGCTGGTTTAAATAGGATTGAAGAGCCACACAAAACCCATTCCCCCAGCTTCCTGAATATTAGTTCCTACAGAGAAGTGTTCCCTTTCACTATGCTTCCCTTTTGGAAAACAAACGTTGTAGCTATACCCCTCATGTTTGGGCCATGTATGTTATGGTCATTTTATACGTTGCTTTAAAAGATTAAAATAAAATAAAATGAAATGGAACATGGGTTTTATTCAAACTGGCAGTCACTAGCAACACACCTTGTCAATGGTTGCTGTAATGCAGGCTAACATACACACCCAAATCTAAAGCAACAGTTATAAAGAAACAAACATGGTCTTATCCTTTGCCAATCGGTGTACAGTGGTAATCATCAACCCTGGCTTTACTACCATCTGCATGGAAGCAAGGCCACCCTTGAAGAGTTAGTGGTTTCACTGTGGTTGCATATTGAAAGGAGATTTTTTGTGTGCGTAAGTGGGGGGCACATGTACACAACTGGAAAGTGGACTCCTTTTCAAGTAACAGCAGATCTCCAAAGTCAGAAGGAGAGTGGCAGATCTCGCTTAGGCTCAGCCCCAGCAGCTGATTCAGGAGCACTATTCCGGACGGTAGGTCTGGCTAGCTGCATTTCGATGAGTTCCCAGGCTAGGTACAGACATTCAAAAAGCCCAAGGTGGAATCAGTCTAAGTTACACAGTGTTTTGTGAGCGATATAGTTTAGATCAGTAGTGAACAGAGCACACATTCGCCCTTCAGCGGAGGGAGCAAGTCTCAGACCGGATTCCACCATGTCTGTGTGCACCAAACTTCTGTTCTGTTACAGGTATAGACTGGTTTTGTGTGTCAACTTCTGGTCTGTTATGGGTATAAACCGGTTTCTGATCACTAATACTAGTAAAAGTGTACTGTACCTGGCTGCAAAGTTCAGTGGCCTCTACCACCCCTCATCCTAGAATTATACAAACTGACTTGAGGCCTTGCATTTCCACCCCCATCTGCTGGAAATCAGACCTCAGATTTGAGACTAAGCATTTTCAGTCAGCTCAGACAGACTTAGGTTTTTATCTGCTCCCTGTCTGTTTGGGCTCTGGCCTGCCAAGAAAAAGAATCAACCAGCTTCCTCGTTGCTGTTATTTGTGATGTTTCCAGAGAGCTCACCTAAAACACATGCTCACCCTAAATGGAGAGAGGTCGCTCAGCAAATTCTTTTATATAACTCTTTTCCAAATGCTTTTGTGTGTTTGCTGGAGGGTTTCAGCCTTAGTGAAGAATGTGAACAGCGGATGCCTGAGACTGACCACTAAATGCTGCAATGAAAAGCTGAATTGGCCGTTTTCAGTTGTCTGTGCCCCCTTCTCTTACTATTGCACAGAAAAAGCCTTTCATTTTTACACACATACTTGATTGTGGGACTTCACTCACTTCAACTCACTTAGGATGGAGGAAAAAATGTCCTTTCTTTCCTCAAGCATTGTGACCACACCTGTGCAAGGAGACATTAGTGTTGTACTCCAAGGAATGGAGTGATCAGGGTCAGACCAGGGCACAAGTCAGTACTGCCACATTCCTTTGTGTCGCTGGGTACGTTTACATGGGCACTTTTTCTAATGTGCATTAAATTTAGTACCTCCATTGTACTAAAGAAATGGGCATTATGCCGCCTTAATGTGCAGTAATGAATGTGCACAGTTTTAAAGCAATGCTTAATGTGCAGTAGCCTATTTCACTGTGCATGAGCATAATTGCACTTTTTACGTGATGCTTTAATGTGCAGTAAAATAGGCTACCGTGCATTAAAGTGCACGTGTAAACGTACCTAGTGTGTTCACATCAAGATAAATAGCTATATTCCATTCGCACCAATCTCTCTGTAAACCAAGTAATGATTTGTTTACAAGAACTACATAATGACTACTTTACATGTACAAGAATAGGGTCATGCCACAGAGCTGGGGGTAGATACAGCTCTTCCTGAAGCTCTGTATACTTGGAGAACACTAAATATGTGAAAACATCATCTCAAGTGTATTCCCATGCTCTCTCTGCTGAGCCTTTCTTACTGAGCAACTTCCTTATCATTTGCACAAGGCTGTCTCGTGTAAAATAAACTGGCTGGAGTGGAAACCCTAGACACGCTGTTGACTGGCCTTATAAGGACACTGGATGAGTGACTTGCTTATATTCCTACTTTGTGCTGCATCTCAGGTACCAAAGTCAGGCTATAATGGAATAGGAGTAATGTTTGGAGTAATCTGGTTGTTCTGCACATTCTCTAAGCCAGCAGTTCTCAGTCTGGGTGCTATGGCACTCTACAGATCCTTTTAAAGGTGTTGTGGGATGCTGCACAATATTAGTACTGTTAGGTGTGCAAACACCTACACACGATCCGCAGGAGAAACCCAGAGATTTAAACTAGAAATCCATAGGGCTAAAAACATTCTGACCTACCGCGGTTTTCTATGTTCCTTGTAGTAGGAGAACTGCTCTATTAGAATCATACAATCATAGAAAGTTTGGGTTGGAAGGGACCTCAGGAGGTCACATCTAGTCCAACTCCCTGCTTAAGGCAGCATCATTCCCAACTAGATCATCCCAGTCAAAGCTTAGTCTAGCTGGGTCTTAAAAAACTCCAAGGATGGGGCTTCCACCACCTCTCGGGGTAACCTGTTCCAGTGTTTTACTGTCCTCCCAGTGAGAAAATTCTTCCCAATGTCTCACCTAATCTTCCCTTGCTGCAACTAGAGCCCATTGCTCCTTGTTCTGTCATCTGCCACCACTGAGAACAGTCCAGCTTCATCCTCTTTTGAACCCCGTTTCAGGTAGTTGAAGGCTGCTATTGAATTCGTTCTCAGTCTCCTCTTCTCTGTACTAAATAAGCTCAATTCCCTCAGTCTTTCCTCTTAAGTCATGTCCTCCAGCTCCCTCACCATTTTTGTTGCCCTCTGCTGCACTCTGTCCAATTTGTTCATATCCTTTCTGTAGTGGGGGGCCCAAAAGTGGGCATAGGACTCCAGATGTGGCCTCACCAGTGCTGAATAAAGGGGAATAATCATTTCTCTTGACCTGCTAGCTACACTCCTACTGATGCAGCCCAGGATGCCATTAGCCTTCCTTGCTACGAGGACACACTGCTGGCTCATATTCTGTTTATTGTCCACTCTAACCCCCAGATCCTTTCCGGCAGAGCTGCTGCCTAGCCAGTCAGTCCCCAGCCTGTGCCGTTACATGGGATTTCTTCATCCTAAGTGCAGAACTTTGCACTGGTCCTTGTTGAACCTCATGAGAACCCTTTTGACCCAATCCTCCAATTTGTCTAGGTCATGCTGAATCCTAGCCCTACCCTCCAGTGTATCTACTACTCCTCCCAGCTTGGTGTCATGTGCAAACTTGCTGAGGGTGCACTCTATGCCATCATCGAGGTTGTTGATGAAGACACTGAACAAAACCAGCCTCCGGTATCAAGGGGCACTCCACTTGATACCGGCTGCCAAGTAGATGTCGAGCCATTGATTACTACCCTCTGAGCTCAGTTCTCCAGCCTAGTTTTCTATCCACCTTACAGTCCATTCACCCAGCCTGTACTTCCGTAGCTTGCCTGTGAAAATGTTGTGGGAGATCATATCAAAAGCCTTGCTAAAATCAAGGTACACCACATCCACTGGTCTCCCCGCATCCACAGAGCCAGTCACCTCATCACAGAAGGCAATGAGGTTGGCAAGGCATGACTTGCTCTTTTTCTGTAGTTAAGAAATGAGTGAAAGCTATGAGATGGCATTTTCTGTGGGGTGTTTTGAGTCTAACAAGGGGTGTCTTGAGTCAAAAAGGTTGAGCACCACTGCTCTAAACATAATAGCAGTTGTGGGTGAGGTCCTTAGTGAATTCAGTAAGTCCCAGAAAATCAAGGGCCCTGCCTAGTTAAAAGTAGACTTCTTCCACACATTTGGGGGAACAGTGATGCCCTTTTTAAAAGCAGAGTCGATAGACATGCAGCTAATCCTAAAGTTCTACCTTTTCTCTTTAGCAGACTCCCCTGATTTATAGTTTCTCTGTGATTTCAGCAGGGTCAAATCAGGCTCTCTTGCAAGCTAAAGCACTGTTACATGAGACACATATGTATGAGTGGTAACTCTCATTGGTCCCACACAATATTTACAAGCTTTACTATAAGCTAAGTCTGTTTAACCAAGTAAATGCAAAGGAGTAATTTAACTTGTGAACCCTTGAAGTTTGCAGTAAGGGGACCCAGTGTTGAAAGCAGTGTAGAATTGAACAACAGTTGTTAAACATCTCAGAGTGTGTTACAGCTTATAAGTAGTAAACTTCTACATTATAGAGATACCAAAAAGCCCCATTGGGAGTAGGATCTATTGTCCGTGATGATATAGGCAGGAGAGTGGTCAATAAGAGTAGGATAAGACAGTACAAATTAACAGGGAGGATGATGCACTTAAATAGAAGCAAGGCAGCATAATGCAAGGACTCGGTTGTAACTAGAGCCAAGAAACAGCTGAAAAAAAATCGAAAAAAAATCTGTGCTTCTAAGTGCCATTAGACCACAAACAGTAACATACAAAGGACTTCCCCCCTTTTTAATACTTTTGAGTTTGGTGCATAGCAGGCAATGCTAAACCGGTCAGATTTACAGGGGAAGTAGATTTATGTCAGTACAGGCCTCTACACGGGGAGTTAGACTGGACACTTGACTGCCCCATGGTAACAGGAGTCCAAGCAGGAGCGTTTATTCTCAAATCATCTGGGCAGTAAGCTATATGGACCCCTTCTAAACATACAGACATGCACACACACAATATTTATTGACAGTTAAATTGCAATGCGTCACATTAGGAAGTCAAGACACAAAGTACAGTGTCATGCCCCACAACTCTACACCTTATGGAGGGGATCCAGTGGTATCTTTTTGAAGTCACATAGTTTCTCACATAGTCACATAGTCACATAGTTATGTGTTTATTCTGCTTCAGTTGTGAACTGTTGAAATGCAACAACCCTGGCTTCAATTTCCATGAACAGGCCAGTTGACAGAGTGGCAGGTGATACAGTCTGCAGTATACTATCATGGGAATGCTTAATGTCAAAGTTACTTTGGGCACTCCTGGCTGCTAGTTTGGAAACTGGCACCATGAGCTTGCTGGTGAATAACTGCTATTAGCTAAAGCTCTTCCTCCTCCTCTTTCTTCCATTAGTTTAGTTTAGACTTTATAAAGATGTAAAAAACACAAAATGGTCTAACTCCGTGAGTTAATAGGGAAAAAACTGTGGCTGGAGTTGAAAGATATGCAAACTCTGTTTCAGTAATAAGTCATGATTCTAGCACTGAACCAGCACTGGGAATATCTTGTATAAGGACCCAGACTTCATTAGGTCAGCTAAACTAGATAATACAACCCTTACTTAGTGCTGGTTTAACAGACTCCAGAAACATTTCCTTGCCCCAGCAGTAGTGTAAGATGGAAGGAGGTGGGAATCGTTCAGCTGACTAATTACAAGAGCGCCAGCACGGCAAATAGGACTTCCAAACATCCATCACATATTCTGGTCCTTGAGTGCAAGGATAAATATTTGTTCTTTCATTGATTCATAGCCATTTTATAGATACAGGCTTTTCAAAGCTTCGTCATACATGATTACTTAAGTTATGAACCCAGTTCAATAAAAACTTGTCAAATACGATGTAACTTCTGACAGCCTGTAACCAGCTTCTGTGCTATAATGCTCTGCCATTATATAGACAGCTCAGACCTAGGGTTGCCAACTCTGAATCTATTCTGGGAGGTTTCTGGAATGCCAGCGTGCCCATGACGCGCCATTTAAATGTGCCCACATGCTTGCATATATCCGTTACAAGTTACGGTGCATAGACTTTACACCAGGAAGGCAAATGCACCTTACTATTACGTTTTAAAAACCCAAGGGATTACTGTATAAATTGGATTCAACATTTAATATTTATTTTAATGAATGCCCTACCATTTATCTCCCAGGTGACTCTCAGCAGTCTCTTGGAGACTTATATCTAACTCCTGGAGATGCCAGGGCAATCCTGGAGGACTGGCAACCCTACTCAGACCCTCTTGTTAGCCTATTTGCCACTTCCTTCTTTTTGGCTTAAACAGTTGTTAAAATATAAAAACAAAACAAACATTTCTTCTTCCTTTTAACCGTACCCAGATTATTTGCTTATATGTACAAATTTACTGAATACCACAACAACATAAGAAATAAAAATGTATTGTAGAAGAGTTTTCTTGTGTGTTAACAAACTCACTCCACTATCAGCTTTAAATCATGCGTTTCATAAGCTTTTCCCTTTCAAGAAGACTAACCTTATATAGAGGCATGTAGCCACGCATTAATACTTCCCCAGATTTACCCAGGTATTAGTGCCATCAAGTCATTGTTCCATTTCTCCATTGTTCTCTGTTATATCATTTAAAGAACCAAGATGTGTTCCACTTAGTGACCTTATACATACGTGGTTGAATCATTTATATGCAGTCTCCAGATGTTCTTTCTCCTAGTTATTATGTTTTGCTTTGAAAAGTTTGAGCAGATACTAAAAATCCATGGGCCAAACATATGTAGAAAAGTGACTTTTTCTGTATTCTTTGCTGGCTCATGCGTTATGTTCCCACCACACACACTGCACAGCGCTGTACATGTTTGTGCAAATATTGACCTGATTTTAGATGTGCTGAGCTCTTAAAACTCCCACTGAAGTAAAACAGAGCGCAGATGCTTAGCAGCACTAAAATCATAAAGCTCCTAGTGTACAGTCAAACTGTTGCACAGAACAGTGTATACATAACCCTCTGCTCAGGGGGGTTACAGATGCCTTTCTGTCCTCGAGACTTAGCGGGTGCAAGTATTACAGACCTTGACTAGACAAGTCTGCTCTGTTTAGCTCAGGCTACAGAGACCCCTGTTTTTTAGCTTGACACATCCCTGGGGCAGTGACTGCTGTTGCTAAGATGTTAGCTGCCATGTGGCGGAGACTCATCTAGTCCGTGGGCTGCACAAGGACCGGGATAAGCTTCCTCTGTTCAGAAGCAGTATGCAGTCAGGTGGTCAGCGTGTGTTATGTGTTCCTCCTCCCTGGGTCTGATCCTCAGAGGATGTATACATATTGCAGCTGTCAATTAGAAAGATGGGCTGCTTTGTTGCATTTGGAGGGACTCAGGCTTCAGATGCCTGAGGTCCTCAGGATCATTCTCTGGTGTCAGACAAGTTGGTCACCATCAGACATTCAGGTGCATCTGATGGGCCATAACTAAGAGTATAGATCTTACCTAGGATCTAGCAGCCGAGTGTGGTAGCAGGTTGCCTTCCTGCTCTCTGTAACCAACTCAGGTTTGTGCAGTTAGGGGTTTGACTCTGGGTTCACATTGCTGGGATGTCCTGATCTCAAGCAACTGCCCCTCCCAACTGTTACTCACAAGGCTCACTTTTGTTGCCGTAATTGCACAGATCACTGGTTGGCTATGAGGCATAGGCAGGTAAAAAGGTGCCCAGAGAGAAACCTTTAGTAGCTGGGCTAAATATAGTGTTGTGAGACATCACCAAATTTGCCTCCTGCAGGGCCAAGTAAATTGGAGTAGTCGGGTGAACCTACATATTGCTGTACTAGAAAAGACCAATGATATATCAAATCCGATATCCTGTCTCTGGCAATGGTAGGAGCAGATAATCCAGGGGAAAGTATGAATGCACAATTTTGCAATAATCTGTGAATGAAGGATTCTTTTTTTCCTAACATCAGGCAGATAAAGCCCAATGCTTTCAAACTCAGTTCAGTGGCTTCCAGCTCAGCAGTAGGTACTCACAACCTTTTAAGGATGCAAACCGTACCTTAAACGTAATGACTGGCTTAGGCATTGAAGTAGGAGGTTTAATAACCCTTAAAAATAAATGCTTTGCTGAATTAGTGCATATGCAAATGGTTCTCTTAATTTTGATAAATATTTCATTCCCTTCCTGAACTGCAGCAAGTTCTTTGTCTCAATATCATGCTGGAGGAATGAGTTCTATAGATTAATTACATATTATGTAAAAAAAATAATCTATGCTATTAGATGGAAATTTGCTTCACTATGCTTCAACTTCATTAAGTACTACTCGCTTTCCTGTTATAATGAGGGAGAGCTGCAGATCCTGTATTTTTTCTATGCCATGTTTTATGCATTCTTTCTTTGCCTGTCATCTCTGAAGTAAATAGCTTTATTGGGCCTGATTCTCATTAATGCTAATGTGATCAAATAACAGTTCTTTCTAAGTGGATGTAATCTCATCACCCAGAACTAAGCTAAAAGCAGGGGGAGGGGGCAAACCGGCCTATGCTTCAAACTTGCCTTGTACCAAAGGTCCTACTTATTCCATAGGTTTCTCACAGATGAGATGAGACACGACCAGATACAAAAAAACCAAAACAAAGCAAGCAACCCCCCACCTCTTCCACAGTGCTTTTATATAACATTAGACTTCAGGTTGACAGAAGCCAGAAGATACCTTGCTCCCCTTTATAAAATTCTTGTTAGAGCAATAAGAAATAGTGGAGATTGTTACCAGGGAATAGGCTTATCAATTTTCAACAAGCTTGAGTGTGGTGACCATCCTTATGTCCAGACTGCACAGGATGGTGCCACATGGAGCAAGGCGAGATCTACTAGAAACAGCACAACCACACTTATTGCAGCGCTCTACCTGTTGAAAAATGGGATGTAACATACAGAAGAGAGGGGAGCAGACTCAGCGACTGGAAGACGCAGGAGAGAGAAGACAAAAATATGCATTAGAGGTGAGAGCTGGATTTTTGGCTGTAGCCATGTTGCTCTAAGGCCATAGGCAGGCAAGAGAGCATTGAATGAAGAGGAACAGATTAGACCCCCTTGAAGACTTCCCTACCTCAATCTTACCAGAGGTGTTACCCAAGTGACTTTTTTTGTTCAAGATTGGTTTTTCTTGTTGCTCCTTCTCTAATGTGAGGGGAGAAGGGAGGGAATGAATGTTTTTAGAAGTGCTTAAATCCCATTGACTCTGGTGCTTCAATGGCTTTGTGATCTGTTCCTCCTCCCCCCAAAAAGAAGAGTTTTAATACTGTATTGAAATTTACAGTATGTAAAATCTAGACTGAGTTGAGGTGCTTCTGAAAGTTTTGGCTCCCATGTTCACAGCCAACTGCCCTTTGGAGATTAGATGCAAACATATTGCCCAAAATGGGTAGTGACCAGACAAGGTGCAACTGAACAAGCCCTATGCTTTGAAACAGGCAAACAGATAGGAGAATATCAGTAACACTGAAGTACCTGGAGATGTATACATTGCAATGATCATAAAATTGATTTTATTGATAGTTAAATATTAAAATTTCTTTCACCAGCATTCTACACAAAGAGGAGACTTCAGTGGTCTCTCACAATTGGAAAGGTACCCATTATTTAAGGGATTAGTGTTAAAGGAGAAAATGGCTGTATATTTGGCCACTACGTTTTAGATGCAACATTCCTAAAGAAAGAGAGAGATCACCACTTCTAAAAACCCAACACACACAAATGAGCTCCCATGCCACACGTACAAGCATGCTGTCCAGACCCCACCTCAAAACATGATACACCATGTGTTTCACAAGCCAGAGTAGCAAGTAGATCCCTTTCAGTGCAGGACTCGGTCCATCCAGCTCATTCTGGCACTGCAGGCTCAGGGGACTGAGTTCTTGTGCTGGGGGTGCAGACATGGTTTTCACCTTTTTCATTGAAGGGGGGGAGGGAGGGGAAGAAAAAAAGGTATGAAGAGCATGAGATTTCACCATTACTTGGTCTGGAGTCCAAAGTTCAGGCCAGTTCACTTGAGGCATCAGAAGACATGAGTCTGTTGCCTCCCTGCTTTCATCTTCTTCAGTTACCATACCTTCCTGAGACTGGGAAATATCTATCACTGCTAAACTCTGAAGCTTCAAGGCCTGGTTACATGAAGTTGGCCCTTTGGCTGCGATTCCAGCTACTCAGGTCTGTGTCTGAACTCCCCAACACTCTCCATTTGAAAGTTCAGAAAGTTTCCTAGTTCACTGCAGGTGCTTGCTCATCCTCCTTGTCCTCCGAGAAAACAGCAGGTCTTTGGGGCCCCTCATCCTTCAGCTCTCGGGCTCCTGCAGCAGACTGGATCCCACCAGTTCCCATGTTGGTTTCTGATGTAGGCAGCGTTTCATCAGTCCTTGGCACAGCATCTGAAGGAACCTCAGACTCACATGGGAGCTTTTCTGCCTTGATGGTTGATGCCACAGCTTTACGACCCGTAGTTTTCACGTAGAAAACAACAAATGCATCGTCTGTGCTGTATCTGAGCCCCATGCTCCGTGCTTTGTGGCAGCAGCACAGCTTTGAAACCACTCGGAGACCGCTAAAGAAGGGGAGGGCACCAATTAAAACCTCACTGCAGCTGGTAAGGAGGGTAGGGGAAGCCAAGCTTCGGGTAACTAGATCAGCAAGGCTCTGCCAACCAATACCAGCCTCACCTGGAAGACAAAGAGAGCCATGTTAACATCCACATACCTGAAGCAATTAGCAGTGTAAGCAATTACCTACTGCCTGAGGGAGGGTGCCTCACACGCCTCAAGTTTTAAGTGGCAATGCTCAGTCAGATGCTAGCCCTTGTTAGTGCACTACGTAGTGTGAAGTGTGACTTGTTTGAGAGTCAGTTAATTAGCCAGTCATAGCTGGTTTAGAGCAAATTGCTTACAGATTCCAGGTGGAATCCCTCAGGATGCTGATCCAGGAAGAAACAATTCAAAAACAACACAAAAGCCCCTTATTAATGGTCCCTTGGACCCACAGCTGCTGTTAGATTTTTAACTCAACTTGGTAGATATTGGCAGAAAGAAGAAAAAAAAAAAAAACAACAAACCTTCAACCAGGAACAAAACCTCAAACTTAGTCTAGGTTTTCTCCAGAGCACTTAATAGTGCAGGTTTTGGGACACACATTTGGATTTCTCTTTGGCAGTCAGATGCACAGAGACCAACTGGCTTTTCAATCAGATTGTTTCTACACTCTCAGGGGTTAAAGGGCAACCCTGTTGCTCTTGGTCAAGCACTTAGAGGCAGCATTCTTGTAATAGGGGCATTTTTGGCTAGACAAGGTATGACTAAGTATTTCTGTGGTTACACATCTACATTCTCAACAGCAGCAGGGGAAAGACAGATGAAGAATATCTGGGAGAACCACTCATCTCTCCCTAAGGAGAAAAGAAAGAAAAATCTTAGGGTCACCATCTTAAAAGCACCCCTATGCATCCAGACTAGTGACAAAAAAAATTAAGCCAAACTAACAAGCAGTCCCAGCATGACATGGGAGCCTTAAAGAAAAATGAATAAAGATTCACCCCCAATGCAACAGTGAAAGACACTATTCACATAGGCACCTCACCAAACCTCTGCACAAACTCCAGCCCCAAAGACAATGCTAAGCCTTTATGCTCTGATCTTAAATAGGACTGGGTGGTCACACACAATTATTTCCCCACAACTCAGAACATTAGTTCCACGAGCAGCGCTGTTCCTGCTCTCATTTTGGTCCCTGATAGGCACTGCATGATGGAAAGGAATGACTTTTACACTAGTATTTAATGACAGCGTTGACTATGAGTGTATCAGCTTTTGCTTTAACTTTTTGACAATTAAAATACAAAACACTGGCCTATTTATTTAGTTTCCCACAGAGCCTTCCATGCAACTTTAGCAAGTCAATCTGCTGTACCTTTTAATTCAGGATTTACAGTGTAGAAAACCCTGTTGACTATAAATAGAGATGCTGTAGGAAGAATATCCTGTGGCATTATCAGTAGTATGTAGTTTAGTTTCAAACTTAACCTGCACCCACCTCAGCATTGTGGAGTTTGTCACTTTTCCATGGCTGCGGATTAGATAGATGTTCCTTGTCTAAGGTATTCACATGTTTTCAGGCACTGCAGGAGTCTTCTCTTCCTCACTGGTGGATGGTGAGATGTATGGACACACCTGCAATTTAGGAGTAATTCTTTCCAAAACCATGCCCACAACAAAAGCAGGAGTCGAAAGGCAAGTTATAGTTCACGCCCCAGAGGCAAAGGTGGATTCAGATCTGATGATATGGATTAGTTCATCTGAGCTCAATAGTAGCATAGCATAACTATCAATGGATAGTTCATATGAGCTCAGTGTGAAGCATGACTACCATTCTCAACCTCAAAATAAATTTATGTCTTTGGGGCCCGGTGTTTCTATCTCCATCCCCTACATATTAACTCAGCTTTAGGTTCCTGCCTTTCCGTTCAGTCAAGATTGTGTCAATCCTTAATATTTTTCTTGCTCAAGTCCACATCTGTGCTACTTAGAAACAAAGAGGCCCCACTATTTCTCGTGTCTGTTAGTTCTGAAGTCACCTTCTGGCTGGCTTTCTTAAGTATAAGTGGGTCTTTGGTGATAGGTATAGCTAATGCACCATGAAAATAAAATATGAATGAACAGGTTTATTTCATTCCTTGAATCAGACATGGTAAAAGCTAGATACCTAAAAATGGGTTAAAATAGGGGGAAGGGTTGAACGGTGGGATATTCTGGAGCAGTGGGTGGGCAAGGTGACTTTGATAGCACTATTCTAAATATATTGGGATGGCAAGCTAGAGAAATTGGGGAAGGGAAGTAATAAGACTGGGACAAAAATTGGATGAAAGAGAGTGGAGAAAGGATGAACTGTGATGAAATTTTGAGGGGGATCAAGATTTAGCGAGGCGGGGTCGTCTATCCTGCACCCTCAACTCAGAACTATGCCGGGTTTGTGCCGACTGGCTCTTTGTTCTGTCTTCCTCCCACCTGGGTGGCTCACTCCCTCCTTTCCTTTGTCTTCCCATTTCCTCCTAATATCCCTACTGAAAGGATTTAGGCAACAGAACAAACTAAAACAATAAGGAAACTATTGTGATCTTTGCTTGCATACACTGCTCCTTTTCCTTCCCCTTATGCTCTGTCTGTCTCATTTTTACTTGAACCAACGGGCTCCCAAGGGAGGTGGTGCTCTCCCCTACCCTGGGAGTCTTCAAGAGGAGGTTGGATATGCATCTAGCTGGGGTCATCTAGACCCAGCACTCTTCCCTGCCTATGCAGGGGGTCGGACTCGATGATCTATTGAGTTCCCTTCCGACCCTAACATCTATGAATCTATGAATGATTCTCAACCAGGGTACCATGACACCCTGGGGTGCCTTGAGCTCCTTTCAGGGGTGGCATGAGGTGCCACACAATGTTAGCTCTGTTAGGTGAGAAAACATGATTCAGGAGACAAACCCAGAGATTTTAATTCCAAGTCCATCGTGTTAAAAGCACTCCGACCTATTGTGGTCCTTCTGAGTTCTCTGAGACAGAAGACATTTCTCTCTTATCTTTCTGTCGTCAAAAATCAAGGGAAAACCAAGAAACGACATTTTCCAAAGGGTGCCTTGACTCTATCAAAGAGTGCCTTGAGTCTAGAAAGCCTGAGAACCGCTGATTTAGATTGGGACAGAAGCTGTCTCTTATTCTGTCATTACAGTGCCTAACATGATGGTGTCTCATTTTCATTTGACCCCTATTAAGCACTGCTGTAAAAAAACCCATGAGAAATGGATAGTAGCACTGAAGTTGTAAATCTACACAGCTAATGGAGTTGCTAGAGAGACCCAGTGTATTTCTAATGCACCCATCTCAGTACCCTGGATGACAGGAAAGTGAGTAAGAAAGCACCCAGAGGGAAAGCAGGCAAAGTAAATTTTTCAGAAAATAAGTATTGGGAGAGACACTGAAAAGCTAAAGAGCTGAAGCTCAGAATTAGCATGGAGGCTAAAAATATTGGAAGCTTGAAATATATCGAAATATATGGAGGCTTAAAAATATTGGAACATGCAACTATCACCAGGGAGAAATGGCAAAAATGCCCCCAAGGAGGTGTCTTTTGCTCCTTTGTGATGGCAGCACCAAAGGAAGCATCAGTGAGAGAAGAGAACCGAGATGTCAGCAGAACAGGGAGTAACAGATGGCGTGAAGGTGAATCAGCACAGAGGAAAGTCCCTTTGCCTTAGCCAGAGTTGGTCATTGGTCAACAGCCCTGGTAAAGGCAATTTTGTTTAAGAATGAGAGCCAAATTGGCAGGCAAGAAGCCATATGAACAAGAAGCATGTGCCAGGGTTTGAGGCACAAGAGGACAGATGGTAACAGAAGGGAAACGTGGCACTGGGGATAAGGAAAGGCATCCAGAACCGTTAAAAAGGAGTGGGTACAAAGAAGCATGTAGCAGAAATATATCCAGTAAGGTATCACAGGGAGAAGAAAGGAAGGAGACCCTTTTAATTTATCATTTGACTGTGTCTTGCATTCCCATGCCCCAAGCTATAGCATCTACCATTGGAAAAGATAAAGGCCGGAGAGCTAAAGTTGCTCGACTAACTTTCTGCAGAGGCAGCAGAGCGGAGGGGAGAGGAACGCAGCTTGGATTGCTTTGTATCTGCGCATGTATTTAATGCAATTTATTGAGGTGTTGCCAAGCGCAAGCCAAGCTAAGAAAGGAAAGTAAAACAGTGCTGTTTAGCATAGCCAGCTGACAGGATGGTACCGTTCCACTGTCCAGTGGCTCTTGTGGTTGTGGAAGAAAGAAAAACAATGTAGAGTATGAGGTAGGGACTTACGGCGCTGCCATGACAGAGGGAAGTGAGTGCAGTTACACAGATTGCAGGGTGACCGTATCAGCATCCGCCATCCTTCAGGGTCACTTAAGGTGTGTCTTTACAAGCCATGTTACTACTACTTCTCTTGCCAGTGAAAGCTGTATGGAGTTTGAGTTATTATAGTATTGATGCATGAGGCATATTAGTACCACGATTCCTTCAGTATAACAACTGCAGTTTTGTAGCGGCAATGGTGAGAGAGAGTGGTTAGCAATCACTCTGGCACTTACAGAGGAGACAGATGGTTTATGCTGTGTAAGATTCTCTCCATGACTTGCTGCATGTAAATACAGCTGAGTGAATACATGGGTGGCTAAAGATGACACATTTAGCCATATATGGAACTCATCTTTTCTATTAACTTAGAGTCTAACAAAATGCTGCTCCTTCCAAGCTCCAGGATGAGCCTCCGTGAAGCTCATCAGCTGCAGGTATGGCTTACTAGTATATCCTTTGTATAGGATGCCCCCAGCTTTTTTATGCTTCTGTATATTGACAGCAGGGTTTTAATGCTGCACACAGGGCCCTGAGTATATGCTCTCTGATTAGAAAGAGGAGTCTAATACATGCAACATTGACACAGCTTTATTTTATCAGCACAAAACCTTATTGATACGTTAATATGTCAGAACATGGTCCTGTAAATTCAGGTTGCAATATGCAGACTTTCATGAGTCTTGCCATCCTATTGCCATGCAGTAGCACATCTCACACCAACTCCTGTTACAGCATTTTGAGAGTTGCATAATACCTTTGGAAGTATTTTTTTGTACTGATTGATAAGTGTCAGTTTGCCTGGAGCGGTGATTAGCATAGACTCATGAAGAGAGGGAAGCGAGCACAGCTGTGTGTTAAGTCACAAGAAGTCAACTGTGTGCAGGATAATCAGTATGATAAACTGGAAAGTCGTGGGGAACAAGATGAAGGATGGGGGATGCCTGGCCTTGCAGCATTTGCTGAGTGCATGAAGTTTCCCTTTATTTGTAGTTTATGGGAGTCCTCATTATCATAAAGAGGGGAAACCAGAACCCATTTCTGCTTTTGCTAGATTTGTAGCTCTAGTATTTTATTTACCCAGTGCAAACACTCCCCCTCCTTTCTTGGCTTTTGGTACATCAGCAGAAGGATGTGGGAAAACTGTTGCTCTTTTCAGATGTTCTCGCCTTCATCTCTGCAGCAGACTGGATTTCCATGTCCTCTTCTGCACTCACGACCATGGCCTTTCATCCTTCTGTATATTTGTTTGCCTATCAGCCTCCCCGAGCCATTTCTTACCATGTTTTCCCTGTGTCTGGAGGTGTGTGGCAGTGTTACAACCAGAGGATGGAGCGGTGGGGGTGAAGGATTTGCTTTTCCTTCTAGAGGGCACTAGTTAGTTAGGGTTGAGTGTGAAGGCTGTGCGGGCAGGGGAGTGCTTTAGTGACAGGCTCCTGTAAGAGGTAAAGCCACATTATACCTTATTCCCTGATAAATAAAACCCCACAACAAAGCTTCCCTGTTGACTGTAGAAATTACACCAATGCGCCTCTTTGAAGAGCAATGCTGTCATGCAACCAAGACTAATATTTTCCATATCTCCCACTGAACTGTCCGTCGCTGGATTGCTGCACAAAGCACAATACTTTTACTGTCAGTCACCATTTAAATACAAGCCATATTTTGCAGCATTTATCCAACAAAAGGAAGGAACATTTTCTTCTAAAGTTTATTTAAATGA